GTTCATATTCTTCGAAGTAAAGGGCTTAACACAACTGAACTCTTAGGCGGGAGTAGCCACGCATCGACCTGTTCGGCCTCAGCCGGTCTCTGAAGTTAGTGGCGGAAGTCGAGCACGAGCGACGAGATTACCTACCAGGCAGACAAAAATGCGAAGCAACAAAGACATGCGCTAATTGAGACGGCAGGGGCTTCAGGCTGATAACGTCCTCTGCAACCAAACGTAATCCCAGGCAACACTTGTGCTCAGGGATAAAAGCCTGTATACACAACAGGCATAGGTAAAGTGCACCTGAAGGGTCGGCAGTGGCCTCGGGTTAAGGCTGCATAGTTGCTGCCTCATGAGTTAAAACCACGCTGGACAAGGTGCGATCGTTTTCCACAACAGACTACTGTTCTATCGAGGGATTTAGAAGCAGATACTGAAATCTCCTCCCCAAGATGTTCTCCTAGAGTCCTTGTCTGAGGCGTTAATACATAATTAAGGGTGTAAAACGGAGAAAACAAAAACGGGCCAACATTTTAAAGTCAACAAAAACGAGAGGTTAGCGTAGAGGTAGTGGAACGGCACATTTGGCACCCGATCAACTTACTTTTCACTTTCTACCCCATGCTCTTTTTGACGGAGTTTTGGGGTGTTCTGGTGAATGTTGAGTAAAGCTCTTCAAGTGGCTTTCCATCTCCCACTTGCCTCGGTAGTTCTCTATAGGGTTAAAGTAGGACATGCTTTTTGATCACTGTGTTACTCCTACAGATGAGAATATGATTATGGGTTATTTTCGCGTTCTGCCGTAAAGAGGTGGTATACTGAAATGTCAGTTGTCCGCCTAAGTTTCTTGACCTCAGGGAAAGCAACTAACTATGCCTTGTTTCTATGTACTTTGTTACACTCTGTCTGCTCTTTAAAACCAACAATTTGTTTTTGCATGATGTCTTTTAAGGAAAGCAAAATGTTGAGCCCTTCCAACCGTACATTATCCCTTCAGTCTCTCAACATATTGTCAGCCCGTCCACTAACCCAGAATGCTACCAACCTTGACACTTTCTCACTGAATATTACAGCACTTCGTTTCTCTGTAATTCACTAAGTCAATTAGGCGAGGCATCATTGAAGGTAGTGCCATAGGCGGCACAGCTATTATTGAACGTCGAATGACAGTGGTTTTCGATGCCGTTTCATGAACCGGCAACGTAGAGGGGGCGTTATGCTTCGTGCGGCAACTATCCTAGCTGCTTCTTCGATCAATTCCACTTTTCGTGTTCAGATCTTTAGATGATATCACCACTAAATCATGTCCACCAAATTTTACAGCATCCTTTGGCTTCTTGTTTTATTTAACAAAAACCTTTAATCGATTGATCGCTTGCGGTAGAGTCTGTTTCGTTCGGCGTGATTGCTTTCTAATCAGATGGAGATGCTCTCACAGGCATATAACTAATTGCGAAAGTCACTTATGGACACTCTATCTTCTGCTTCTAACGAGCCCTCCTCCGCGCGAAAGGTCTTGTCCGGTACTTTTTGAGACTTGTGTACTGTCCATTTAGAGAAGTGTCTCTCTTGTCAACTTATTTTTCTTCGCCGTCGGCGTTTAAAACACTCTTATCATACGCAGAAATTTCCATATTGCGTTGCTTCTACCGGCATAGAACCACCATACCGTCTGTTTTGTTGATTTTAAAAGAACCAAAGAATTCTTATAAGTACTTTTTAGCCCTGTACCAATTGCTAACACCCAACCACTTTAATCGCAATTACATGTGGTGCGTTGACTGCACATGACCGCCCAGAACTGCTCACTCACAGCCCAGTCATCCGCACTGGTCTTGACAGTGGATCACGACTTTGGCATGGATCATAAAGCCGAACAGTTGTCTGCCTGAACCGTTGATTCATTTTAAAATCCACATCCACAGTGAAAAGGTCTATATTAGTTAACGTTATGCTAATGTCTGTGATGAAGAATCTGCGACGAACTTCGAAACGTCAGGCACATAGAATTCCTGTCCCAGTGTTCGCATCTTCATCTTCTTCTTCTTCATCATCATCATCATCATCATCATCATCATCATCATCAT